AACAAGTAAAACATCTTGAAAACCACGTCATTTAGTTGAAAACCACGGCTAACCAAGTTCGTGCCGTTTCGCATGGTTTTTACTAAACGATAAAAAGCGGAGAGTGGTTTTTGAGGCGTTTTTGTTGGAGAGCTAATAAAATATGCCCAGAGGTAAAAACCAGTCATAAAAAGTTGAAAACCACTTGGTTGGTTCGAACGCCAAAAACCAATGCCGAAAACCGAAAGCTGAATGCCGGTTTCTGAAAGCCGAACGCCGGATGGCTTGGTTTTTGGCTTGGGCAAACTCCAAGTGTTTTGACCCAAGTTTAAACTTAAGAAAAATATTTTTGAACATGTAAAAGAGATTTTTATGAATTGAGCCTAGAGAGCCAAGATTTGGAATTTTGTGCCGGTCTTGATCACATTAAGACCGACTCAATACGATTTTAGTTCTTCGTTCTTGATTCTGGGTTCTTGGTTCTCAAGTCATCATGCCATGTTCCTTCGCCTTAGTTTTGCTCACTTTAGCTTCGATATGTCGCGGCGGTTTGGCATTATCAAAACCTGTCATAAAAACCGAACACAGTTTAGTACGACGTAAGGCGTAAACCCGTGTTCCAATACTTACTTTGTACAGACGGATTGCTCTCACATGAATGGCCACCAAGGTTCGATGTCTATCAATATCGGCAAGCTTGGTCCACAACCCGGAAGAAACTGCATGCGACGACATTTTTTATTATCTTGAATAGTTTTTGCTTTGGGTGTTCAAAAGGGGAGATAGTGTTGCTTTTATATTCAAAGGATGTTCTCTTAAAATAGAAAAAAGATTACACACTCTCCAACGTATCACAATTAATTTTGCGTGGCTCAATAAAGTGCTTTTTCTCTTCCCCATTTTAATACACACTAATCAATGTACACACTAATCAAGTTTGGGTATTTATTATCACATTCCCCCATAAAGCCTAATTTCCACTTGCAAGGCCACTAAATGGAACGCAAGCCCAATACCGTGACACTGTTCATTTGGGCGGGAAAAGATGCATTGTTCATCTTTTCCCATTTGCTTTGTATATTAGTAGATTGTGAAAAAACTACAATGCTCAAGAGAATAAAGATTCTAGAAAACTTTTTTGTATAAAACATTTGTTGTGGTATTTGAAGTTTCTATTTGTGGTATTGTGTATAAAACACCTTCAACCCACGTCGATTGGTTACGTCACTCGAGAAACAGCAACATATAGTTGGTAATGACTAATAACTAGTTCCTTGAGTGATAATGTGACGTGCTTTAATGATTAGACCTGACTTTTGTTAATTCTCATTGCGTAGGTTGTCATAATCAGATATTGTTTCCTCTGGAATTTAAATGGAATCTGTTTATTCGAAGGCATGTGCGATATTCTTTTCATCCATCATCGTAGTGAAACACCAGAAAACGTTCTGGCATCGGATTGTGGATAAACAAAATCCCACCAAGAGATCGCGCATGAGAGCGAGTTCAGAGCTCTTGATCTCTTGATCTTGGAAGGGGCGAGTTCGAGGTGAGCAATTTCTCTAGATTGAGCCATGATGTGGGAGGCCTTTGTGAGAAATTGGAGAGTTTGCATGAGAAAGTGTTGATGGATTGGGGATCATCAAGAGCATTAACGGGCTTGACCGTGAGATTTTCAGCGTCAGAGAATGAGGGTTCATTCTACTAGGGAGAATCGGGTGAGATAAGGGAAGGGTTGCTTAAGAAGTAGAATCTAGCTTGTGTGACAATTTAGGATTCTTCAGGCGCTCATGATTGATGAGGCCGGTATCTTTCATCTCTTGAAAGGCTTTCTCAGCCTGGGAACCCTTAGAGAAGGGAGTCCGGGAAAGCTTGGTCTTGAGGGGCTTAGTTCGTAAGTCAAAAGGTAGATCCGCAGGAGCTTCAATCACAAAGAACTTGTCCTCCCAACCTTTAATATGCAGCTCCACTTTGGTGAAGATGACATATTTCTGGTTGGGTAAAGGATGAAAAAAGGGAATCGCCCCCGAGTCTGAAGAAGTGCATGAAATCCATCACAGAAGGAGTCTTAATTTAAGCTTCTCGCAGCAACGCGGGATGTAAGATGTTAGAATAAAGGCCCAACGCTAGAGGGGGGGGTGAATAGCGTTTAAAACAAAATCGCAGGAAATTAAAACGAGAGCGTTAAAGTAAAGAGCGTAAGGAAGGAACACACCGGATTTTATCCTCGTTCACCACAACGTGTGGCTAATCCAGCCCCCCGAGAGACTCTCTCGAGCTACACTAACTCCGTTAAGCTTAAGGGTGCTTAACAAACCGATACAACTTGAGAACCCGAGTCACACGAGCCTCAACACCTTTGCT